ACCACTGAACATGTCAGGAAAAAGTGCTATATCTGTTGAATGCTTGAACCTACAGACATCAGTGAGGGCTCTATTGAAAGCTTATAACCAGAGGAATCCATATCTGGACACAGAGTCACTCTGTTAGTTATAGAAATTCATATTACATCATACAAACTAAATAAAATATATATTTTTCATAAAAAGCTATAATAAGACCACATCAAAACAAGTGTTATGGGCAAGTTTAAATATATATTTACAATTCACACTAACAACAAACACTGTAAACTGTATATTTACTGTATAACTCAAACTGTACACATATTTTTAGCACTACGACACTTGCCTGTTTTCTATGAGCCGCTCGTTATAACAGCCTCTGTTTGAACAAAGTACCAGGGCAGCTGCTGTCTCGACTTGTGCAGTCTCCACGACTTCCCCTGTTGTGTATTTTCTCTTTTCTGTACATTTTGCCGTGTTTTTACGTTCCAAAACTATCCCAAAACAAACAAGATGGAGGACGGACGCGCTACGTATCTTTAGCCACTAGTACGCACAGCTTCCACTGCCTCCCACACACAGAAAATCCCGCCTTCCGGTAAATCAGCGTCTGCTCATTGGCGTGAAGTTTTTAAGCGTCAGAGAGTGTCTGCAATCCGATTGGTTGAATCTACAAGGGTGGGACTTGTGCGTAACTGATTAACTGTCTGAGATACTCAATTGGCTCTTCAGGGTGTCAGTCACAACCCAAAGCCCTCCTATTGGCCAAACTAGGTGTCAATCAAAAGCTAAGACTTCCGTGTAGTTGCCTGTAGCACTTTCAGCGCGATCTAAAATAGATTCAGCCTGATTTCGCCAGAAGAAATGAATAAAACAGCCGAATTGAAGCATTTGTGCCTTTGAGGATCTAATACGTATTGCGGACCAAATTATTTTACTGGATTATATTCACTTAGACCAACCTGGTGAGGAATGACCGATGTTTGAGCTGCAGAGAGCCTTCAAAAGTAAGAAAAGTCGGATTTTAACATTTTGCTTTTCTGTACAGAAAGCGCTTTGTGTCGACAATGTGGTTGCTGCATATCAAAAACGTTTATGTCATCGGAAAGAGGAGACTGGGCTTTCATTTGATGTGTATATTTTCGGGAAACTTGATTGTGGAGCATGCGCACATGACTGTAATGTTTTTGGAAAGTGGTCACGTGCCGCCGGCGGGACGGAGGAATGACAACAGAAATGTTCCTTCTGGTGAAAATCAAGTTTTGGACTTTGTTAACATGTCCATAAAGTTGTTTTTTTTTTTTTTTTTTTTTTTATATATATGCTGGAAGACGCATCATGAGCAAATTATGCAGGGAACTCCTTTACTGAGCGTTTCTTCCTTGGAACTACAGTCTGAAAAACACAGATTTTGGCTTCTGGAGTTTCAGATGTCACCAGTTTCCAGTTTGAACTCTGGCGTTTAGCAAATAGAAATAATGTTGGTGCTCCTGACTGACCTAAAACAGGAAAAGTTTAGTCTGATTTACTGTCAGATAGTGAGAGGAAAAAAAAGGTTATTCATGTTTTTACATAGTATTTGTATACTTCTGGTTTCAACTATATATCAACAAAAGACTGACAGAGACCATTTTACTAATGAGTACTTTATTTTTCATATTTACTGACATTTACTTAAGTACGATAACTTCTGAATGCACTGCTTTTACTTGCTGTGGAGTATTTTAATTGCATGGTGTTCGTACTGGGCTGCAAGGTGGTTCGGTGGTTAGCAACGTTGCCTCACAGCAAGAAGGTCGCCGGTTTGCATCCCGGTGAGGACACCTGGGATCTTTCTGCGTGGAGCCTCCATGTTCTCCCCGTGCAGCGTGGGTTCTCTCCGGGTTCTCCGGCTTCCTCCCACAGTCCAGAAACATGCTGAGGTTAATTGGTGATTGTAAATTGTCCGTAGGTGTGAATGTGAGTGTGCTTGGTTGTCTGTCTCTAAGTGTAGCCCTGTGATAGACTGGTTACCTGTCCAGGTGAACCTGCCTTCACCCTGAGTCAGCTGGAATAGACTCCAGCCCCCCCACGACCCTCGTGAGGGTTAAGCGGTGTATAGATAATGGATGGATGGTGTTCGTACTTTTACTACGGTAAAGCATCATCATACTTCTTCCACCACTGACCGTATCACAGTGTTCATCAGCAGGTAGTTTCCTCGTTGTCTTGTAGATCTGTTCAAGCTGCCAGCTGTAGGACTGTTGTGGTTTCAGCTGTTTGTGGGCTTTTTGTCAAAACAGTAGTTTTTAAGCTCAGCAAATAGCTTTGAACCGCTGAAGTCCTCGTAGAGCCGGTAACTGATTGGAGTCAGATTGTTTAGTTAAACTGGGACGTCCAGTGTCAAGAACCAGTTGTCACGGTGTCAGTCGATGGAGAAGCTTCTAACATTAATGACAGAGAGAAATATAAACGGGCCTCTGATTTCACCTCTCAAGCAATTTGTCATGTCCAGCTGGATGAATTATGTATCGCTCTTAAAGAAAAGCTCCATAATCAACACCAGGCGGTTGCTGGGCGCCGTTGAACCCTCAACCCAAACAGTTGTAATCTGTGTCTTGACTTGATTGAATATAAACCTCTTAGAAGGTGAAACATGGGACACCTGCATGCTCTCCTGTTAAGACTCGGGGCTTAGCGTCACCTCGTGCCCTCAGCAGCCGTGGATAACTCAACTCAGACACCTTCCAGCTGTCGGCCTGCACTCATCCACTGTTGTTCATTCAGCGAGGGTCGCGTGACTCAGAGAGCCGTGTCTGCTCGAGCGTTTCCACTTTGTTGTTCAGTGGCGCACATGTGCAGAGCTTTTGTCAGAGAAACCGTAAAGCTCCGGCGCCTTAATATCTCTACATCTGTGAATTTATTTAATATGATTAAACCTGCAGCACTTGATCCTCACCGTATAACTTGCCCTTACACTTCAGCTTGTGTTTGATCTCAAGTTTAGTGGAGATTTATTTATAGCACATCTCAGAGTCCGAGCAGCGCATGTGGGTGAATAAAAGCTTAACCTGCTTTGGGATGACCAGTGTGTTCAGAAGGCGCTCGCTGCATTAACTTTAACTTTTAATTAGCACTGTTGTTTAGCAAATGTCTGCGGTTGAATGATTCACATTCAGCACATGTTCATGCTCTGGTATAATTAGTTCTTGCTTTGCACCCAAACCTGAGTGAAGATTGTGTTATGATATTCAAAAGCTTTTAAAATATACATCAAATATTCTGCAATTCGTTACTAAAAATACAGTAATAACTTAACTGGCTAACACTTCTTCTTTGCTGCCTGAAATACATTTTACTGCATCACTGATATTTGTAGATTTAGGTACATAGATACACTAATACTTGCACTTTAACTTTAAAGCCTTACGTACATTTTTATTGCTAATACTTGTGTTTTTACTTTAATAACATGTTCAAGAAAATACATCCCCACATGCAAAAAAAACTACATGTGACTTGATTTCTGACAAGAACACTTATTATTTAAATAGGATAAAACTTTAAACAAATAAATACATTCAGCAGCATTCCTGTCGGTGCATTGACACAATCGGACAACCGTTTAAAAAAATAAATAGAAAAGGAAATCTGTAGGAGATGTGCATATGCAGATAAAGTAAAAATAACGTGCACAAGTGAAACCTATGAAAACAGTAAGATAACTTATTATTGTAGAGATATTTAGAATAGAGTAGAATTCTTTTTTAATTTCCGCGCCACAGCAGCATCCAAAAATATAGAAAGTACAAGAAAATACCAATAATTAAGTAATAAGCATCCTGGTGTCGGCACACAGCAGGTCCACGGCTCCACCGTCTCCGGTTGGGCCGTCCACATGCTGGCTGAATGTGAGGAGAGCGATAGAGAGCGATGTATGATGAAAGTCTCCTGAGATCAGAGGCTGAGGGTGTGATGTTTGCAGCTGGGACACTGAAATATGGGTGAGTTCAGCAGCATCAGCCGAGGGGGGAATGGAAACTGTGAAAAACTCCCTCGGCAGGTAAAACTGCTGCAAACCAACCACCAGCAGTTCCTTCGTCCAGCGCTAACGTGCTAGTATTACTCCATCTCTACATGGCCAGTCCTCCGCCTTTCTTCTTGTTTTTGGGATGTATTATGATCACTATAAAGACAGAAGTGTTCTTGTACATTGCTTAACATTTGCAGAAATGCCTGTAGCAGTGCAAAAAGTACATACAAGCTGCAGTTTGGTGTATAAACAGAAGGTACATGTGCTTTATAGTGCTGATGGTCACTCAGGTCCACACAGTGTTCGTCAGAGTCGTATCATTTTCTATAATGAAGACTTTAAAGAAACAAAGTCTTTAATCCTCAATGCAATTTTAAGACTTCTCTTTTCCTCATCCAATTACCAAAATCCTAAAGCTAAACTTGAAGGTGTAATGAGACGTAATGCTCCAGTGATAGTGGAGGAACGCAACCAAACTGAATGCAAATAAGACACTTAATTCAGCTCAAGTTTATCTCCGTCCCTCTGCTGCCTTAAGTTTTTCTGTTCTAGAGGAATAGGTCTTGCAAATGAACATTTAAGACAGAGTTTAAATCATTCACTGGAATAGTTTTTTTTTTCTCCCACTCAACGACAGCTTGGTCACTAATCTCAGTGTGTTTATGTTTCATTCTTCTTTTGAAATGTGATCCAGGACAAAAGAAAGTACAGAAGAACCACCAGATCATCTCTGTCTGTAACTGTTGTTTCTTCTCTCACGTGCAGCTCTTCTCACTATGATCAGTGATGCCAGCAGAGTGTTGTCGTCCCACCTAAGTCTCTTTTCAATCAAGCAAAAGGTGAGGGATCAGGGATGATCATTTGGGGGAATTACTCTCCGTTAATTCCAGATCTGGAGGATATATACTTAGACCTGAGGCGTCTAATCTCAGCTTTCACACTTGAGTAGTGATATATTGAACTTCCAGAAGCTGCGGCCGACGGGGAGACGACCTTTTTCACAGCCATGCACCCGTTTGCGTTTCCGCCCAACGCCTCCGTCTACGTGGCTCCGCAGGACGAGGCGCCGCTGTCCCGCACCGGCTTCATCGTCCTCGCCGTCATCATGGCCCTTTTCACCGGTCCGGCCATCGTCCTCAACGCTACGGTGATCATCGTGTCCCTCATGCACAAGCAGCTGAGGCAGCCGCTCAACTACGCTCTGGTGAACATGGCCGTGGCTGATCTGGGCACAGCCATGACCGGAGGAGTGCTGTCTGTGGTCAACAACGCTCAGGGATACTTCTCTCTGGGCAGGACCGGCTGTGTGATGGAGGGCTTCGCTGTGTCCCTGTTTGGTGAGTGGACATGAGGAGATGACTCTAGTTCATCTAGATCATTTCCTTTCCTGTCATTTAGCAACGCCTTACCTGCCACTACTTTCCCTGATTTGTCCGCAGGCATCACGTCTTTGTGCACCGTGGCCCTGATCGCAGTGGAGCGGATGTTCGTGGTGTGTAAGCCTCTGGGACAGATAACCTTCCAGAAGAAGCACGCGGTGGGAGGCATCGTCCTCTCCTGGCTGTGGTCCCTCACATGGAACGTGCCCCCGCTCTTCGGGTGGGGCAGGTACGAGCTGGAGGGCGTCGGGACGTCCTGCGCGCCCGACTGGCACAGCAGAGACCCTCACAACGTCTCCTACATCCTGGCTTATTTCGCGGTGTGCTTTGCGGTTCCTTTTGCCCTCATCCTGGCGTCCTATTCGAAGCTAATGTGGACGTTACACCAGGTGAGCTGCTGAACATCCTCGGTACAGTCTGGAGGTATCTGAGTCACTTTGTCCTCATGAGAGATAAATATGACACTTCTTAATCCATCATATTTATCTACAATCAGCATCTACATTTCAGAATAATATTTTATATTAAAAAAACTCAAGTTAAACTTTTAAAACGCAGCGAATTGTTGTAGTTTAAACCACTTGTTTTAAACTTTTTTGGCTTTTACCTCCTTCCTTCCTTAACCATTTCACCAAAGAGATATTTCCTTTCAAAATAAGATGCCTCAGTTTAACTAGAGAGATAAAAGGGGATAAAAATAATACAATATCCTACAAATGTCAATATAATACAAGTAAATATAGTGAGGACAACCCAGATATGAGTATTAATCTGTGAAGCAAAGTAGTTTTTTCTTCTTTTTGTCTCAGTTTACTTTTAAAAATGTAGTTAAATGTCGCTCTACGTTTACCAGCAACAGTGAAATATTACCTACTTACTGCATTAATGTGATTAATTTAATGTAATGTCTGAAATACATCTCACACAGGTACAGACTGTCTGCAGACTGTTTTTATTTTTCATATTTTGTGCACATTTCACTGATAACACTGGGTTACAAAAACATATTTTTTTAAAGGTGTCTAGGATTTTTTTTTTTGTAACTTATTTCGACATTTTTGCAACGCTGAATCCAAAAATGTCATCTGCTTTTCTGTATCAGGCCAGCTCGATTAAAAAAAAAAAGATTTTACCACTAAATCGATCACATTTTTTGACATTAGCGATTGATTAATTTTAATATTTCTCACATGAAATCGGATTTTAGAGGGAAAAAAATCCTTTTCTAATCCTTTTCATAAGTTAAATGATCCAAAAGTCGATGAGCGTAGACATTTGCAGATGCTCTGTGCAGCTCTTGCACACCAATGTGAGGCACCCAAAATAAGCTTGAAAAGCACGTTTTACGAAGTTGGTGACCGAGTATCTGTTTGGAACAAGAGTGTTTTCAACACAGATGTAGCAGAAGACATCGGGCTTATTTCTACGAGCCCTTCTGGCTGAAGCCATTTGCTTTCACTGTATGTTTTGAGGCAAAGAACACTAAATAGATCACAATATTGAAGCAGAGAAAACTATCATAAACTACAACTACAGTTATGATCACACCATCCGGTGGCGTTCACTCAGATGTTCACCTCGATACAATCACGTGACTCTAATGTGTTGTTCTTAAACTTTCCATCTAAATTGAATTCACCTGCAAATATTTATCGTAGGGCTGCAAGGTGGCGCAGTTGGTAGCACTGTTGCCTCGCAGCAAGAAGGTTGCCGGTTCGCGTCCCGGTGGGGGCACCGGAATCTTTCTGCGTGGAGTTTGCATGTTCTCCCCGTGCAGCGTGGGTTCTCTCCGGGTTCTCCGGCTTCCTCCCACACAGTCCAAAAACATGTTGAGGTTAATTGGTGATTCTAAATTGTCCGTAGGTGTGAATGTGAGTGTGCTTGGTTGTCTGTCTCTAAGTGTAGCCCTGTGATAGACTGGTGACCTGTCCAGGGTGTCCCCTGCCTTCGCCCTAAGTCGGCTGGGATAGACTCCAGCCCCCCACCACCCTAGTGAGGATTAAGCGGTGTATAGAAAATGGATGGATATTTATCATATCAACTTGTGAAGGTTTCAGAATTTGTTCATTTCAGGAAACAGAACAAATAATTTTGTAGGATACAAAGCATAGACACCCGCACATTTACACAAACATGTAAAGAAGTGCATGTGGTGACAAATCAAAAATTTTGACTTCATTGAACAAAGCCAATGTCATATATGTGGATTCAGCTCATTGAAGTTGTCCAAAATCAGCTCAAAAAACTTTGACACCAAACTGGGTGGAGACCAGTGTAATGTTTCTGCACTTTTACTTAATAATTCTAAATGTGCAGCTTCACTCTAAAAGTTTTTTTTAAACGTTATTCTTCTGCTGCTTTTATTAAAGTAGACCATTTTCTTCCATCACACATTCAGTTTTCCACTCTCATGTATTCCAGATGCACAAACTGTTTGTGCAAGATCTAGAAAAAGGAAAACAAAAATAGAGAGATGGCTTTCATCGCTGGTGTTCCGGCTGCAGGAAGCAGCTGCTGTTTGTCACCCATCAGGAGGTTAAAGACTTTCTGTGTTGCAGGTCTCCAAGATGGCCTGTGTGGAAGGTGGTGCAGTCGCGAAGGGGGAGATGAAGGTGGCGTCCATGGTCATCCTCATGGTCCTGACGTTTCTGATCAGCTGGTTGCCGTACGCCGGCCTGGCCATGCTCATCGTCTACAACCCTGACGCAAAGATTCCTCCGCTGGTCGGCACGGTTCCTGTTTACATGGCCAAGAGCAGCACCGTGTACAATCCCATCATCTACATCTACCTCAACAAACAGGTGCTGAAACACCAAACACACGTTACTGTAAGAACTGAATGTGGACATTTGTGATGAATTAAGTGTAGCAGGATTGTAATTCAGCTCTCAATACCGTCTTTGTTTTTTGGGCATCACATCACCACCATCTAGTGGTAATAAAAGACATTATACAGCTGTTCAGGCTCAAGTACAAGAATGTGTTTGTGTTGTATTTTGAGGTAAAAATGAGGCAATTTTAACCTCTTCAGACCTGGAGTCCACATGCATAGACATCACATTTTTGGTTATATTACCACAGTAGTTAATTTTATTTGTATTTAAAAAAAAAAAAAAAAA